TTGTTCTAAAATCAATTCGTTGTCTAAGGTACGCCTGTGAGTTTTACCGATAAGGTAACGTTTACCGTATGTGAAGAAAACATTCACGCTTGGACTTCCAGAGAAGCGTATCCGTAAATACTAGACGCTAATATCAGTTCGTTGCTAGAGCCAATCTAGCACCCTGTGAATGAGGCGGTATAGCTTGGCATCCAGTCCTCTGTGCATCAAACAAAACCAAACTGATACTTGCTATATCCTGGAAGCCGCCAACGGCAAAGCGATCTTACATCAAGGAAACTCGCAATTGTAATGATAAACATCAACCATTTGGTGCATGTCTCGCTTTTGTGCATTTTCATTTGAGAATCTTGCACAATCAAAATTTTTAACTGAGCCTACACAATGGGGAAAGGACCTTAGATTCGGTACATTATCTGAGAAGAAAGACCATTCATAACTGTTAGAACGAAATTTTGAAAATAAGCAAATGGCTTTTATTTTTCACTGGTAAACATATATATACAAACATTTGATTAGCCCTATTTTCTGTCACCGAAAAAGTTATGGTACTGGAAATATTACTTTTGAAAAAACAACAGAAAACTGTTTACACACACGCACAAATCACAAAACTATACAGTTCATACATTCAGCCTAGAGAAAACAAAACCTAATAGATAAATAAAATAAAAAGAAACTTTTTGTTTCACTCTCTAGAAATCACACAAATCAAACTTGAAGAATTTTTATACATCAATGACTGTAAATTTCTTCGAAATCGGATTTTAACCAATCAAAAATGTTATGAATTTTTATAATATTTAGTTTTGGTTTTGTGGCAATTGATGAAGAGCGTTGTTGAACGAGTTGTTGTTCATTTTCTTCTTTATCATCGCTTCCGACTTCCATTGAATTAGGAGAAACTGTTTTTTGATGAAAACGTTTATGCTTTTTTAAACGAGCTTGAGATGGAAAATATCGATTACAAACAATACAAAAGTTCTTTTTTTTAAATGTTTTTTTACACTTGAACAAGAGAAATCAAACGGTATGTTTTTATACTTTAGTTGTACAAAGTTGTTTAATGCAAGACGATGACCCAAAGTACCGTAAAAAACATTTTTTTCACTATCGTTTTCGGCTAATGTCAATCCACTACTTTTTCGTATAAAAGGAATGGGCGCTGGTAAAAAACGACAGAGAAATACGTCATGAAAATTTGATCTCCATGCACCGCAACAAATAACATCATCACACCGTACTAGCTGCAACGTGTACTGCGTTTGAACAACGTGTGAGTGGCACCATCTTTCATCAAGTTCTTGTGGAATTGATTCTACCTTTGAATCATTTGATTAAACATACTGAGCAACAACGGGATGACCATCAATACTTGTAGAAGATCAAACTTCTGCAAGTACTTCTCCAGCTTTCTGAAAATTAATTTTTTCTAGAACTGGATCGATAGTTTCCCCACTGCTATTCAAATGTGAACCAAAATGATCATGTGGCAAAATCAATCCAGCAAGATCATGACTAAGAGGTGCCATTCTTCGTTCAACCGCATTATATGCCGATTGTCCCGGTGCGTGGGTCAGAATAAATAAAGCATCAAGATTATGCTTCTTAAACATATCAATTGATGATAATAACGTTTTCGGAAAGCATGGATTTTCATCAGGACCCCCATCTACCGTTATTATCGCAATTGGTTTCACTTGCCCATTCACTATAAAAGTCAAAAATCTGGGATTGGGTCATAGCAAGGTCCGACGTGGCTTATGTGGCTCCTAATCTAGGTACTAGATTATCTAACGCCACTATAATTTTTTTCCTTACTTGAAAATATCGAAATTCGAACATCAGAACTTGTGTTTGCCAGTCTGTCACTGTAACTATATGGCCATGTCGGTTCGAAAACTAACACTATCAAAGT